ACAGCACCTTTTCTGTAATGCTCCATAAGTTCAAGCTTCAACACTTTCTTTCTTGCAACATGTCAGCTTCTCCTCCCACTGCCTTTGTCCCCCAAGTCTATACATTAATCCCAGGGGACAGAAAGAATATATAACTCGGTTCTGCTTTTTGATCTCTTATCCAAACTTCTGAACACATGACTTTATCCAGGCTTGTCTCGTGAGGACATTGTTATATTTTCTCTATCAGCCTTGCCTTTGCTGATTTCTCCATCAACTTACTAGTTTTCTGAATTAAAATAGCAGTCTGGGACACCTACCTTTGGAAGGATGGGGCTGATCCAAGCAGAAAAGCGTCTCGTTCTCGATCCCTAGTTCGCAGGGAGGAGTGATGCTTCCATTCACAAGAAGGCTGTCGACCACATCCATCCTTGCCTGCAGCTTTCCACCAAGTGCTGGCGAGCTGGCGTACTGCTCACTCTCGGCTCATGCCTCTAATGACTGGAGAGTCTCCCAGAAGCAACCTGCCGTGGCGGGGCCGGCAGGCAGCGATTTCCAGGTGTGGGCTTCTGCAGCCATTTGTAAGGGTGACCTGAGTTCAGCACACTCAGTCCAACTGGGCAAGCATTTGTACTCTTGCCTTGAAAAAGGCAGCTAATGCAAGCCAAGCCCGCTCCACCTTCCAGGCACCCCCTCCCATTCCTGGGCCAGCCTTAGGGCCCTGAGTATAGACAGCCTGACTCAAGTTAACCCTTCCCAGAGTGTCGCTGCTTTTACACACACATGGACACATGCATGGGCACACAGGCATAGGCACAAACACACACGCTTCCCCAGTGCATTTCCTCTCTGTTTAGGAACCTGTCATAACCCAGACATATGCAGAATAAAGCCCAAACTGGCTGTGTGAGACAGGAACAATTAATATGGTAACAGATACGATAATGCAGACCATCAGGACTAAAGGACACGGAGGGACTGCATTTCTACCTCCTTATATAAAAGCAATTAGTGCCTTTTTAGCTTTGGAACCATGCCCAGCAATGTGTGTAGATATAACTGCCGGCTGGTTGTTAAGTTGTTAAACCAACCACAGTGTTATTCTTGTGGTCTCTGCCCTTGTTAAAGGAGAGGGTACTTTTGAATATAGGTTCCTGGATCCTTACTACAAAAATATTAGTAAGATTTTTCCATTCATTCATTTATTCATTTGTCCATTCATTCCGCATGAATTCACTGAGATTCAACCATTTGCAGGCACTTTTCTAGACACATAAGCCAATAGTGAGCAGGATCTTCTCTTCTAGTGTTAAGCATCATAAAAGAGGTAAAGCATGAAGATGTGATGAAGAGGAATACTTTGGGGGTGCTAATTTAGATGGAGTGGTCAGGGAAGGCCCCCTGGAGGAGAGGACTGTGGTCTGAGACCTGGATGACAAAGAGCAGGAAGCCTTATGAAGATCTGGGAAAAGCTTCTTCCAGGCAGGAGGCACAGTAATTTTGGAAGAGGTTACAGCAAATGCAAAGGTCCTGCAGTAGGAATGAGCTTGGCTTGCTTCAGGAACCAGATAGAAGTGGCAGGGAGTGAGGGGCAAATGGTGAGAGTGAGGTTAGTGAGGGGGACTAGCCCAGGGATTTGGGTTTTTCTGTGAAGCTCTGTGGTGCTTGAAAACCTCTCAATGCCCATCCTACAGATGGCCTTCTTGGTTCAGCCCTTTGGGAAAGCAGATGACAGCAGTGGGACCTGGGTTTCTGACATGTTTGGCTGGGCTAAGACTTGGCCTATTTGCTAGAAACTTCTGGGGCCACTAGTGTACTGACAACCCTCTCAATTGACAGAACTACATACTGTATCTTTGCTGAATACAACTGAGAAACTGGCATTTTTACTCAGAATGTGGGGCTGTGAAGACAGAGTGGTACCTCTTCT